TCCATAGAGCAGCATTTCAATTCAGTCTTCTTAGTTGACATCTGTACACTAATGGTGTTGTCTTTACCTCTAGTCATTCCAAAGATTGTTGCCAGATATTCCAATGAAAATCCACCCTAGAAACCTCAAAGACCTTTAAAAAAAAAAAAAAAAAAAAACCTGTAATTGCAATTTGCATGAGATTTCATTGGTTATAGGATAAACATTGGTTTACTGAATTTTTCACTCTTTCTGTAGGTTCTTTAGACAGTAACTGGGTGGTTGGAGCTACGCTTGAAAAAAAGCTGCAGCCTCTACCTCTGTCACTGGCCCTCTGTGCTTTCCTTAACCAAAGAAAAAACAAGTTCCAGTGTGGGTTTGGCATCACCATTGGTTAAACTTACCTTCTTTCTTGGTTAATGCTGCAGTTTACACACCAGTGCCATTGCTGGTGAAATGGTAAAGTTTGGACACACTTGCATATTTATCCACGCCTGTGTAAAATCAGTCCGTAAATATGAAGCAAAACAAAGTAATATTTGTTTTAAGTTCCATGTATCAGACCACACTTTTTGTTATTGTTGTAATGCAAGCGAAAAGCAATGATAATTCCAATATCTAAAAAAGTAAATTTAAAGAACATCACGACTGCCTGATGCATTATAAGAGAAACCATGAAGAAATACACATACACAAATTCACCTTTCATTTTGTTGTTTATTCACATTCATTTTTTTTTTTTTTCATTTATCTGTCTATCAAACTGAGATGCATGTTTATTAATGTATTTTTGTTGGTGTAAAAAAAAAAAAAAAGTTTTTTTTCCCTAATGAATTTGTCTGATACACTATTGCATAGTTGAGAAACAAACAAAAAAGTGTAAAAAAAACAAAAAGATTAAATTCATGTTACATTCGATTACGTAATCCCAAATCTATGATATTTCCCACATTGTTATAGTTTTTTTCCCCACCACATGCAGTGCCTTCATAAACACTTTATAAATATGTATATTGCGTATTGCCTAATGACATCTGCACACCAAGTATTAAAATAGTTTGTGTATGATTTAAAAGTATAAAAAATATAAACGTCTAATAGGACATATTGAATGGTTATAATATTGTGTCTGTAGCAATATGACTGCTTTACTTACATTATCACAGACAGTAATTTTTATTTATTTTTTTACATTGACCCTGTCCGGTTTTTAATTTTATTTTTTTGTAGTTTAGTTTTTTAGTTAGGTGAATACATGCCAGAAAATAATATAGAAAAATAAAAAATACTAAACGGATTAGTTGTCCCATGTCCCTCACTTCCTCCGCCTTAGTGATTGTGTTCAGCTGATATCAGGCTCTTTTAAATGCAGATAAGTGTGAGAAAGAGGCCAACGTCCAGAAGGATACTCTTTAATACCTGACTCATCAATCATCATTACAACAACCTTATGTTAATACGTGCAGACAAACATGCAAAAACACAAACGTACCTCTGCACTTTACAGATCTGCAGATGAATGATTGTGAGAGAGTACTGTTAGTTTACGTTTTGTCCATATGAAATGTTATGTCATTGGGACTATATTAATGCTCGATTTAATTTTCTTTTACCAAACCACAATTTTATTTAAAAATATTACAATGTAATAATATTACCATGTAGTATGCATAATATGAAAACAACTGTTTTCCCTTTCAATTCTACAGTCATTTTAGTTCATTATTATTAAAATGTGACGATTTTAGAACAGATGACTTGAGTAACAGTGATGTTAAATGCACAGCATATTTTCTGCATTGGAATGCAGCCATAATTTCAATTGGATCAATATGACAGAAGCTCAGGGGTCAGTGCTCTGTGTTCTCCTCGAACTGATTGATAAGCGCAGATGCAAACGGTCTTGATAACTTGATGGCGCTTTTGTGTAATTGGATGAATGCTTAGACAAGATGGCGAGTGATGTACAATGCTGCTTAAAGTAACCTTTTAACTCTGACACACCGCTGATTTCTTCTTTCAAGACTGTGTCTCTCAAACCAATAAACACATCAGTTAAATCAAGATTGTGGTGCGGTGTTTGTTCTTTAATTTACTCTAACAGAGCAGAGCTTGCTGAAATGTCATATATAAATGCGCTTGAAAGGGCAAGCCCATGCCCATCAACATTTCACATGCAGTTTAATAACTTGGTCACAAAAATAACCTTTACAAAAGTAAATCAAGTCAAGATACTGCAGATCCCGTAGTAACCTTGTGCTGTTGTTTTCCCATTAATCATTTCCTTATAGTTTTTCCTTCATTGCTTAAGGAAAAAATTATTTAAAACTGTAAACACTCACTGTTTAACAAGAGTTACAAATCTTTTTTAACATTCAGTAGTTGAATGTGGACTTCATTTTAAAAAGTACAGTAATAATAATACATTTTATTTGTAATGCACCTTTCTTAATACACAAAGCGCTACAACGTGTACAAACAAAATAACAAGTCAACCAAAACTACAAATATCAAAAATAAAATCATAGTAATAGTCATAAATTAAAAGCTTCACTAAAAAGATACGTCTTAAGAAGTTTCATATAACAATCCAAGGAAGCAGCATTCCTAATAAACAAACATAATGCATTCCATAACTTAGGCGCATTATAGGAAAAAGCCCTCCACCCCATGGTTTTTAATTTACAACGAGGCTGATACAAGGAAAAACAACCAGCAGAGCTGAGAGAGCGAGAAGGTGTGGAAAGAGTTACCAAGTCACAAATGTAATCTGGAGCCAGCCCATGCACTGCTTTATATGTTAAAATCAGAGTTTTAAAATCAATACGTGATTGAACCGGGAGCCAATGAAGTTGCTGGAGCACTGGGGTACACACTGCTCATGTGATCACACTGCTCATGTGATGGCATGAGGATGTATAAGTCAAAACTCGCACAGCTGAGTTTTGAATATATTGTAGTCTCTTAACAGAACTTGCTGGTAAACCCCCAAAGAGAGAATTGCAATAATCGAGCCGTGATGTGATAAAGGCATGAATAAGCCTCTCAGCATCAGGCCTAGAAAGAAAGGGTCTAATGCGAGCAATGTTACAAAGATGGAAAAAAGCAACTTTAGTTATGTTTTTGAAGTGAGAATTAAAAGTCAACTGAGCATCAAAATCACACCCAAATTACGCACCTGAGCAGGAGATATTTGGGTATTGTCAACTGAAAGTTTAAAATTATTGAATTTATTAACATTAGATGGAGTGCCAATTAATAATTTCAGTTTTAGAACAATTTAGTTGTAGAAAGTTTTGTTTCATCCATGCCTTAATTTCCAGCAAACAAGCATAAAGAGTTAAAGAGGAAGAAGTGGAATGAGGCTGAGTGCTAATATAAATCTGGGTATCGTCTGTGTAACAATGATAGCCCAGGCCATACTTCTGAATAATCTGCCCAAGAGGCAGCATGTAAATACTAAATAGAACAGGTCCCAAAACTGACCCCTGAGGGACACCCTGACATAAAGGAGCAGTCTGAGATCTCTTTTCCACTGCATGGTACGGCACGGTAAGGCTCGGTACGGTTCACTTTTGGGGCTATTAGTACCCAGGTAAACAAACTGAGAACGTTCTGAAAGATCAGATGTAAACCAGTTCAACACAGTTCCAGATAGACCAATCCATCTATGTAGTCTGTCCAGTAATATGCTATGACATATCGTATCAAATACAGCACTAAAATCAAAATGCCACAAGCCCCAGAATCAGCTATAACGAGAAGGTCATTCAAGACTCTAAAGCAGTCTCCATGCTATGTCCAGACCTAAACCCAGATTGAAAAGTCTCTAGTAGGCTATTCGTGTAAAGATGAGTTTGCAGTTGGCTAACAACCACCCGCTCAAGGACTTTTGCCAGGAATGATAAATTAGAAATTGGCCCGATAATTGGACATCTCAGCAATATCACTCCCAGGCTTTTTTAGAACCGGTGTAACTGCTGCCATTTTTAAAGCAGGAGAAACAATCCCTTCACTAAGTGAGACATTGACAATGGTGGTGATGTGGGGTACAATAACAGACTAACAGTTTTTCAATACAGTAGTAGGGAAAGGATCCAGTATACAAGTAGTTGAGTTCATTGACAAACGTTTAGACATAAAATCAGAATCAACAACATTGAAACTTGAGAAAACATAGTCAGAGAGATTTGGAGGATGCAACTCAACAAATTCAGAAGCAAGATCACCGGCAATAGAATTATAGATATTCTCAATTTTAGATGAAAAGTAATTAAGAAACTCGTTACACTGCTCAGTCGTGGAACAGGTAATGTTACTAGGAGGTTTAATAAGATTATTAACTGTTCTAAACAGAACTCTGGGATTAGAGATGTCACTGCTAATAACTGTAGAATAATATGCCATTTTTGCAGCTTTGAGAGCATTGTGATATTTAATCTGATGCTGATCAATCATTGATCTATGAACTGTTAAGACCGGGGTTTTTTTTGTATCTCTGCTCTAACTGCCTGCCTTTAGCTTTCATACAACGTAACTCAGATGTATAACCAAAGAGATGATCTCTTGAAAGAAACAACACGTTTTTTCAGAGAGGCAACCTCATCCAGAATAGATGCGAAGGCAGCATTATAATGGTCAACCGAGGCCACAACCGGTAAGTCACCAATATTAAGACTAAGATGGTCAAGATCAATATCACTAATTTTCCTAAAACTAATTTTCCAGTTTATGACAGAACTCTGCATGCGCAGGAAAACCTATTGCTAATAAATGTGGCTTGTGAGAATGTTACTGTACTTATGGTGTAGATGTTATCTCTCATTCTGTATACACATATTTTATGTATTATGTTTGTTTTTTTCTTTAATTACAAAGCTTTTTATTTTTATTTGTTTCATATTTGCCGGTAGCGAAAATTATTTTCCTTAAATTTCTGTACATTTTCTCAAAAAGAAAGCCTTTATCAGAGCTCAGCAACCCATTTATATACAGTGCAGATACCTTCTCAACACCTACAACAAAAGAGGACTAGAGAAAGGTAAGGGACTGGACAAAAAATGCAAATGAATGTATACTTATGTTCTTTTGAGTTAAGTGAATGCCTGACAAAACGATTTTTTTTTGTTTTGTAGAGCCTGCGCATAATCTTGAAGACCTTTGTAGTGTTTGTTATTGCAGTTTTCACTGGTTAGAATTCACGGAATTTCACTCATAAAAAAAAAAAAGAGGAAAAAAATTGTGTTTTAAAGGAGTCAATTTTTCCTTTCTCTTTGGAGTGTTACAAGCTCTTGGTGCATAAAGAAGAT